GTCGCTGCTATGGGGGGGCGGTGGGGGGGAGGGTCTCTGCTATGGGGGGCAGTTGGGGGGATGGGGCCCACCGCGTGAGGCTTCTGCACCCCTTCTCCTAAACCGTCTCTGTTTTGAAATTCAGGTCATAAGAGGGGGGTCCGTAAGCGGACACTCAGGGAGAGGATGAGGAACTCACTCTTGGACAGTGTTCCCTCTGAGCTGAGTTGGTGTGAGCCAGCTCAGTTTTTTAGCCCCCGGCTCACACATTTTTGTCTGACCTCAGGAAGGACGGCTCCAGAGCAAACTCATTTACGCAGCAGCCAAATCACCGGCTCACGATGACTTTAATGCCAGGAGCTCACAAAGTAGAGTTTTTGCTCTCAAGACTCCACAGCGTAGAAGGGAGCCCTGCTCCTGAGCCCCAGAAATGTCTGGGAGATTGCGGGACGGTCCCCAAAGACAAGACTTCTGGACCCTCTCAGGAACAGGGTCTGGATGCCAGGACGCCTGGGCTCCTTGGGAAAGGGGTGGCACCAGGAGGGCCTGCAGGGTTGCCAGCCTCCAGGTGGGGCCTGGAGATCTCCTGCTTTTACCACTGATCTCCAGCTGACAGAGATCACCTCCCCGGGAGAAAATGGCTGCTTTGGAGGGTCGACTCTGCGGCATTGTACCCTGCGGAGGCCCCTCCCCTCCCCAAACCCCGCCCTCTCCTGGCTCCACCCCCAAAGTCTCCAGGTACCTTCCAACCCAGACCTGGCGACCCTAGGGGCCTGCAGTCCCCTGCTGCCTGGTGGGAAGCCGCCTGCATGGTTCCCCAAAGGGGCCAGAGGTCAGGATTCCCGGTTTGCCTGCGAACCAGGGGCTCCTGGTTCTCGTGGGTGGAAAGGGGGAGCAGAAGACGCCACAGGGCAGTTTCACGCCTCTTCTCAGCAACCAGGCCGCTCCGGATCCCGACCACACAGGGGTTAATCGTTAACAGGGCAGTGGAGGGGGTATTGACTGGAGGAGACTGTTAAGGGGGGGGGGGTTCCTGGAAATGGCTGCGCTTCCCGTCATCCCGGGCAGAAAGGGAACTATGGCAGGGGCGGGTGGTGGGCAGGGAACTCGGAAGTGTTTTTTTAAGTGCCGTGTGACGTTTTGATCCCGGCCTCCCTTCCAAAAGCGCAGGCTGACGTCCGTGAGCTCCCCCTCCCTCTGTTTTATTCCTCACGACAACCCTGCAAGGTTGGTGAGGCTGAGAGAAACTGTGAGTGTGAATGAGTGGGCCCAGGGCACGGTGAGGATTTCAACCCAGGCCTCGCCACTAAGCCGCCCCGGCTCTCAGTTTCTGGTGCAGGGGGTGTGCGTGCGCATGCATGCGTGTCGTGGAAGAGAACCACACAGGAAGGCGCCCCAGGGAGAGAGCAGGCTCTCCCCAAGTGTTGCACATTCATTGCAGGTGATTCATGCAAGCGAGCCCAGCTGCGTTCTTGGGGCTTATTCCCCATTTCCCAAGGAACAAGAAGTTCTCGGGGGAGAGATGCCTGG